ATGCTAAGGTGATGTCTTGGTGGGATTATGGTTATCAGATAACTGCCATGGGAAACAGGACTGTCATTGTAGATAATAATACCTGGAACAACACACATATAGCTACGGTTGGACGAGCGATGTCATCTTATGAGGATGAAGCATATGAGATAATGAGATCACTGGATGTGGATTATGTATTGGTTGTGTTTGGAGGTGTAACTGGGTATTCATCGGATGACATAAACAAGTAAGGAGTTTGTTGATTTAAAAAGCAGGGTTGCTAATTTTCTCCTCATGTTGCATCTTATTTTCTTTTGATTAATCCTAAAAATACTATTCCCTGTTAATATCAGGCTTACATGAGATTCTTTTCACATTTCTTTTTTATCCTGTGTAAGCATATAAAATGCCTTATCAAATATTCATGTATCTGAATATGCTGATTTCATCTATCCTTGTTTTCTTTCTTAATGTTGGTTGTATCTTGTGACTTCATTCTAATTTGGTTGCACTCATCCTTTTCATGCTAGATTCTTGTGGATGGTGAGAATAGGTGGTGGAGTTTTTCCTGTCATCAAAGAACCAGATTACCTTGTTAATGGCGAGTATCGTGTTGATAAAGGTGCTGCCCCTAAGATGTTGAACTGTCTAATGTGAGTTCCCTTTAATCTCATGACTCATTGTCACGTTGGTTCTTCCTTGTCCAACAGTATTTTGGTCCCGTCAGGACACCTTACCACATTTTATTGGAAACTTTTTAAAATATTTTGGTTCTGAAGTTTTTTTTGTTCAATTTTTTTGGGTCATTGTTCATGCCTCTATACTATCAAATCTCTTCCTTTATCTTGCACGCATAAATTGATTTTATACAACTGATGTTTCATGATTAGGTACAAGCTATCTTATTATCGCTTTGGGGAGCTGACTACAGAATATGGCAAGCCTCCTGGGTAAGTTACTAGCCTCAGTATTCCTCGTGATTATTAGAAGCATCATTGCACTTGCTGGTTTTGTGATGGATATTTTAGTCCCTTCATTAGTCTAATAACATTTCTAATTCTCATTTGGCCCCCTTTTCCTGCTTTTGGAACAAGCAGAGTAGGGTGCGGGATGAGAAAAGACGCACATAAAATAAATTTTGGGTTTTGGGGTTTTCTTTGTGTGTGTGTGTGTGGGGGGGGGGGGGGGTGGAACAAATGA